AATAATATTACACTCCAAATATTTTGATGTAGTCATTGAACGTTAAAGGCTGCTCACTGAAGGCCATTATCATATCTCCTTTTATTTATCAGACTTGATCATAATAGCGTGCAAACACAAATCCATATTGTCTGAGTTAGAAATGATTTGCTGTCAACACAAGTGAGTAAGGCATTTGTCTTGTGTTTCATCCTATGTCTACAAGCGATCAGCCTGCCATGATTGAACCAAGCAAATTAAATCTGAGAGGATCTGATGCTTCTCCCAGCCTGTCCGTCTGAATCTCTTTGAGCTTAATGAGATCTGGCAGTCAGCCTCTTCCCGTTGTTTCTCTAGAAGTGAAGAAAGTTGGATAGTGTCGATAGTGAAGCTAATTTAACAAATCTGACAGCTGTGCTCTTTGCACAATAACAGCAGGCTGTTAGAAGCTGCATGGTGTGCATAGATATGAATTATCCATCAACACCTTAAGTGATGCAAGGAGGTGGCAGTTTTGTTCATGAGAAATTGTAGAAATGTCTCCAGAACAGAAAAATGTTGTTAAAAATCTATTACTATGCCATGGATTTCAGACTCATACCTTAAGTTTCTTCTATGCCATGTGGAAATACTGAACCCTTTTTTCTATTCCAAAGTGTTCATCAGGAAGGTCTCATTTCTGTGAACAGATGTCCGCTCCTAAATTCCATGTGCTTAAAAAACTAGTGTCAAGAATCCAGCTCCTGTCCTGCATTGGTCCTCACTGTTCCAAAATTATGCACCAGGATTTAGCAGGACTCGATGTTTCCCTATCATGCATATGCACAAGGGGGGGGGGGGGGGGTCTACACAAGGAAAATCCTAAAGCTTAGAGTACAAGTACTAGAGCAACATATTATGTAATACTTTTCTTGTCACTTTTGTTGTTCTTACGGCTTAACTGTGTGATTTGTGTTTCTGAGATGAGAGGAAAAGAGACGCCCTAGAAAATAAAATGAGTCACATTGCAGGAAGATTACTATGACAAAATAAGATCAATTAAAGCTCCTGTGAGGAGTTTTACTTTTACATATGTGAAACAGACCCACATTCACAGTAACACTTTTTTAATGGTACATATAAGCAAACAAGATCATCAGCAACTGTTGTGACTATTTTTGTTGTCATTTGTAATGCCTGCAATACGTGTGAAAAAGTTGGTGTCAGTCGAACAGCTGAATAAACAGCCCTGTTTTCATAATTTCCACAAGAACTTAGAGTACCAGCTAATTAGAAGTATGTTACCTCAGCTTCACTTGCAGCACATTGAGAGGTTACTCAAAACTATGGGCTCCATTTTTGTGCCTCTCCGGTAACGTGGCGCAAGTGCAGCATAACTCAGGATTGCCGCGCCAACCACACGTGCCCAAGCCCACGTTGGTATTCTGGTGAGCGGCACAGCCAGGTGTAAGTATCCCCCCTCCCTAACTCAGCTCCTCCCAGCGGCGTAAGTAGTAGAGAGGTAGGAGAGGTGCGTTTAACAGAGATGAGACCTGTTTTCACCAATCACATCAGCTTCTCTCCTCAACCTTAAATCCGCCACCGGCGAGGCGTATTACAATCTTCAAGCGGTAGTCGAAGAGATCAAGAGATGGCTGAAGACAGTAATGCCACACAATGGCGACAGAAGGCAGTCCCTCAACAAGTGTCACTGTAAGCGCTGCAGAGGGCATCCTCCACACTCTCTCATATAAGCACAGATGGATTTGGTGTGTGTAAGGTTGTACCCGCTGGTAAGACAAACACCCTTTTCCACAAATAAATAATAACATAAAGTTGCATATATTTAAACCCCACGTGACAAAGGTGGGTTGTGCGCACAGATCACAACATAAATTCCAATAATGGCATTAAAATCTGAGCCAGCTGTGCGTAAAGGATGCATTGCGCTCCATGGCCTGGCTCTTTCTTTCATAGATGTTGGTATGTAAAATTAACTTGAATATTATGATAATCATATGTGGGCCATACTCCGGATACAATATTCACAGAATTTAAAGATGTGAGAACATCAGATAAACAGGTCATTTTAAATGAAAGTTTGTTTTATTTTGTTTGTTCAAATTTAAGTAAAATGAAGTAAATAACTCATCTGATAACTAAAATAAATCATCTGGTCAGCCTTGCCGCTGCAGCAGCAACAGGACGGGTACGGGACACAGAGACATGTCCGGTTCGAGCTGTGTGAGGGAGAAGGAGAAAAAGGGGGGATACGAATTAAATATCTTGTTAACTTCATCATGTGTGACTGTTCACAGGATATTTAATTTAATGCGGTTTCAGCTGTGTTGATTTGGTCAGGTTGAGTGTCTAAACGCATGCCAAACGCGCTCATCAGATCAGATATAGATCAGAATATATCTATAAAGATCTAAATGGATGTGCTGAGTCAGATAGTTGCACTGAATATTGTCTTTTGTTTATTATTTATTGCAATGAAATGTGCCTGACACTGGGAAACCTGCCGCTGAGGCATCAGTGACATATGTGCACTAAGCCGCCGGGCTACCAAAATATCACTAGACCAGCTTTGCTACAGTCATGAATCGGCGAGCTTTCAGCGCACTTTCCACACTGGTGGCAAGCACAAAAATGTCAATGCGCCAGCTGATTCTGTCAACACCTCCCCCTACCGCGCCACCATGCCCAGCTTGGCGCAACTCGGTGCGCCTCAGTCTACGAAAATACCAAACTGGCTGTGCGCCGGGCTCCGCCTGATGAACATACCACTGCACGAGGCTTGCCACTGTCCGCCGCCAGCGGGCATGAAAATAGAGCCCTAAAACATGTATCGTAGAGTCTGTCAGTTCAGCTTTTGGCCACCAGAGGCAGTAGAAGGCATAAAACTTTGGCAGCTTTGTGTCATCCATGTTTGTCTTTAAAAGAGTTTTGTTTCAGCCAGTGTTAGAAGGCTGGAAGACAAACAATGAATTAACTGTAGACGGTAAACTTTGGTGAACAATGTTTGGTTTGTCCAGCTGTCTAAACTTTGGTTGCTTGCTGTCAGATGCTCCTCACTCAAATCTTGGCTACTCTTGACTGAAAGGGAAGATCAATAGTTCACTGGGACAGTGAATGTTCCACAGTGGATTTCTCATATTGAGGGTGTGATTAACAAAATCAATACTTCTCGATCAGGGGCTCCAATGAAAACATTCATCCTGCAGAGGCTCTGCATGATCAATGGTACACTGTTGAACAGTAAAACACATGACCAGAGAGAAAGCACTGCAGTGGCTCTGAACTCTTAAGCCCTTAAAACTGTCACCATGTCTCAGACTGAAGACTGGCAAAATAATTCATCGCACTGCCGATATTTCTAGAAGATGACAAGTTTACTGTGTGTAGCTGACAAGTTTTTGAGTGATAAGATGACATGGCTCGCTGTGAAGTACTGCTTCAAGGAACCACCTTTCCCTTCCTGGTTCCAGCTATGTCTGTACTTATAGGCAAGAATAAATGTACTGCCTGCAGCTCTGTGAGGCTGACTCTACAAAGGACTCTCCAGATCAAAATACATGAAATAAATACAACTGAATATCAACATTTCTGTATTTCAATGGTTTACTCATGCCAACATGTTCAGCAGTGTTAGCAAATTTAAACCAAGTTGATCCCTTCAGGGGTTTGCCCTCTTTTGACTTCTAATAATTATGATCAGGGTCATTTTTTTTTTGGTAGGCTGTTTGCTCACATGATGAGGTGCATCTTCCCAATGTCAAGCATAGAAAAAGAGCTGCCCTGTGCTGTAGATTAAAGTCAAACATTTCAGCTACAATTTTTTTAGAAGTATGCAGTTTTCTTTTGAGTTTTGCTAACTAATGATAAAGAAACAAAAAAAGCATGTTTGCAAAGTCTACTTAAAGCTTGGTGAGCTCAATCATGCCCAGAGTAAAATGCTAACTTGCTTTAGAAGACACATACATCATGTGCTTCACCCCTTAGCATTCCCTACAAATGTTAGATATGTTCAAGTTCCTGTTGGGAGATTTTTGAGGTTCATAACATGAACTTAAACTAAATTTCATATTTGGCATTTTTAATAGATAAGTCTTACTGCCTTAAACACGTGTGAAGAGTCAGCCAGGCAACTGAGAAGACAACCCCAGTTTACATTTTGAACATAACACATTTACAATAAATGATACATTTGACTGTCAAAAGTCAGCAGAGAGCATTTAATTATTATTTATTTATTTATTTTTTGACAGGTGTAGCTGCTGAAGCAAGTACAGGACAAGTTCAACAAAGATTGCTCTGTCCACATGGAGCTCTAAAACTGACACATTAGAAGTTACTTACAGGAGCTTTTCAAACAAACAAAAACAACAAAAAACCCTATGAAAGATATATATATTTTTTTTAATTTAATAATTTTATTCAAACTATATTGGAATTTTTGATGTCTAATGGTAAAGCAACTGTTTTATTTACATCCTGTATCATTGACTGACTGTTTGTCCTTGTTAATACTTCTTCAATTTAACCCATAATCCCAATTATTAATTGTTCTGGGTCATAATTATCCAGATTATGAAATACTATGTCAAGGTTTTTCAAAGTGAAACATAGACATTTTGAAGAAGGCCATATCCAGAATTTCAGTGCCCTAAATTAGAAGAAAAAGGGTCCATTCTTTCTCCTAGGAGGTTGCTGATATCCATACAAAATGTTCCCAGAGGCTGTTTTAATTCAACTATTTTATTATTGAATTGGATATTTTAATTGGTAATAACGATAATCAAATATTGACTGTTATTGATTTATTTATCTGCTTTCATGTTTCTAATAGAAAGCTGCAGATCAATCCTAAATGCATTTGACCTGTAAAATGGTAAAAAGTAAAACAATACAAAAAAGAAAACAAAAATCAAAACATTTAAAATTACATGATATTAAATGGTTTGCAACATCGAGTTTAAGTGTAAAAAAATCCATATGTATGTCAAAGGATGGAGCAGCATCATTATTGTCCACATACTGCTTTTTTTCCTTAGGATGTACCAGGACAGCTTCCCTTCCTCCTCAGGTGTTGGATATCCCAGCTTCACTGTCCATCATCCTGGGTCAGGATCACACTCTGATTCTCCCACGGGACCAGATAGGACAGAAAAGAGAATATCTCTGTCAGCCCTGACACACAAGTTACCCAGAGGGAAAAGGCAGGGAAGATGCAGGGAGAAGATGGTACCAAAGGATAGGATGCAGAAAGACAGAGATGGAGGAAAAGTCCCCAGGGAGGAGGGTAAAGTAAGCATGAGCAGCGTGCAAGGAGGTACAATATGAGAGGTGAGAAGACAGGAGATCATGAGAGCATCAGCAGGAGAAGTATGATGGTACTGAGGCTCAGAGGACAGGTGTCTTGAGGTCTTGTGACTCTGAGGAAGAAACAGAAGCGTACTGTGACTTTTTATCTGGAAAAGTCTTAACCGGTGGAATAGTCAGATTGTTATAATAGATAAATCTGACCTGTTATTGTCAATATTCTTTTCTTCTATGGGTTAACTTGTTGGAAATAAATAAACAATACACAAAACAATTTATCAAGGCACCAGGGGGGTATTCTAGAAAGCGGGTTATGTGAAAAACTCTGAGTAAGTTAACCCTGAGATGAGGGAAACTCTGAGTTATCCGTTCCAGAAAGAGAGGTAACTTAAACACTGGGTCAGTTACTGCGGTAACTTACTCTGTGAACATAACCTGCTCGCTGGCAGGTTTACTATAAGAGACCCAGAGTTTCTACATGTCTCCTCCCACACAAAGAAAGCGGTTGAACATGGATTGTCCATTCCTTGAAAATCCGATCAACATCGAAGCCAGAATAATGTGCAACGGTTTACGTCACGAGAGAATCTTCTGACCCAGATCAGACGTTTTATCATTTCCAGAAGAATTTCTTTTCGAACGCTACCGCTTTTCTTTGAACAGTATAATTTATCTAAATAACCTTCTCCGGCCGCATATCACCAATCTCACACACCGCGGACGAGCACTCACATCACATGATTTAAAAAAATTAAAACAAATGCATATGTGATTTGGTTCTTCTTTATTCCCTAAGAGTACAAAAGCAACAGTCAGGATTTGTAATGTAGTTCCAACCATTAACATATTTCACATATTCACCATGACAATGCACCCACCTCAACTGGCGTTCCAGTAATAGAATTTCCAGGTCTGTTTTAGCAATCTGCCGATCCAGATAGACCATTTCTTTTTCGTTTTTTTTTATACTTGTCATGAGGTGCACCCTGTATAACTCCTTAACCGGGTGGGAGCTGGGAAACATGGGCGACATTTAATTCCTTTAGTTCTACATACAGAATTAACATGGTATTGACCGAAAATCTCACTTTGACAAGCTGTGCCGCTGAGGTTGATGGACCCTCCTCCTGGTGATGCCCAGCCATGTTCTGCTGAAGGACAAGAATGAGTTAGTTTGTCCATTATTTATGCTCATCTATTCAGTGTACATGTCAAACTCCAAATTCCACTTTAGAATGTAAATGAATGGGCACTGCCAGTAGCTATATATTAAGACACACTTCAGGAAGCCCCTCTGGATCTCTCCCTGTGGCAGCAGACAGTGTTTCTTCATCCTCATCCTCCTCCTCCTGTAATGCAGGAAAAAATACTGTTTCAGAATACTTTGAACTACCATCTGAGGCATCAGAGTATGGAAGACTTACAGCTACAGGGTTTGTTTCTGTCGGAGGCTGAAGCAGGCAGATGACACCATCCACAACTGTTGGGTGGGTGGATATATATTTGTTAAAAAGTAGGCTATATATATTTATATATTAGTTTTATTTTTTTTTAAAGACATAAGTGTATACTTGCATCTGATGTAGGGACTTGTGTCCTGGGGGGTGACAGGTTCGGATGAGCTTCCCCCGGGGATGCCTTCAGCCACAGGACGACCCCTGTTTTGGCTGAGGGCCAGCTCCTCTGCCTCCGTCAGAGGTGGTGGAGGTGGCCCTCCACCCGTTTTTCGGGCCTCTGCCTTCTTTCTGTTGGCTGAGCAGAAGTCAATGTTTATTTTAAAATAGTATTTTAATCAGTGTTGGTGTAGGCTACAGCGTCACATTTTAAATGACTTCAATAGGTCTAAAATATAAATGTGTTTGTATCAAGTGTTAATCCACGAAGTGTAGAATTAAGTGAGAGGACGTTGAAAAACGACATTTTGTTTGGGGTTTAAATTATTATTTGAAGTAGCCGCTGAATTAATATTTTAGTTTAAATTAATATTGACTCTGTCTAATAGCCTAAGTCCATTTTAAAAAATTAAATTAAAATCAAAGTGAGTTGCAATCACAGCCTAGCAAAATATGCCTTACCTTTTTGAATTATGTTTTTATGCTTCATTTTGAGCTGCTTCCAAGTCCTTTTTTCTCCCGTTGGATTGCACCTAAATGAAAATCAGATTTCATTCCTACTTATATTCATAACTATAGACTATGCTTCGATCTTATATGTTACGTCAATGGAGTAGTACATTCAAACTTACGCATTGACTCGCGCAGCAATTTTCTCCCATGCCGTCTCTCTCTCCTTCGCTGCTGCAGCCGTGTTGGATTTGCGGCGAAAAATGTTCTCATGCTCGCCGTAGGCCAGCATAAGGACCTCCAACTCCACCGGGGTGAAATAAGTTGAGCGTTTTTTCTCAGTTGTCATGGTGACTCGTGGTATCGGGGCTCCATTGATGATGGCTTTTTATAGTGGTTGTGCACGCGCGTAACTCCAGGTTATCATACTCAGAGTTGATTGAACTAATTCAGATCAGCTGTTCTGGAACCGGATACTCAGAGTCTCCCATCTCAGAGTAAGTCAACTCAGAGTTCAGGGATAGACTCAGAGTATGTTGAACCTGCTTTCTGGAATACCCCCCAGGACAAATGCTTGATATGAACACAATGAAACAGAGCTTATGCTTTAGCTGTTGACCTGGAGGACCACCAACTCTACTCTCTCCTTAGTTGTTGTACTTTACAATGTTGCCTGGCTTTCACTTCAAACCCCTTATGCCTCATATGTCCTTGTTCTTCTTCTCCTTATATAAAGTCACATCCATGTGGTGTGCATGGATGTGACTTAAGAGAACTTTTTTTTTTTTTTCGAAGCTGCAGAATATTAAGAAAGCTGTAAAATTTACAAAGTCTTTAAACCAACATACACGTTTTTCTCTGTGTGACTGAAAAAAAGGCAGCTGAGTGAATTTGGTGTGATGGAAAACTTGACAGGTATGGCTGTTTTTTTTTTTTTTGTTTTGTCTGTTTGTTTATTTTTTTGTTTTTTTTTTGTTTATTTGTTTTTTTTTTAAAGATACAACAGCACTACTCTAATCAATTTCCCCAGAATGATCCAATAAACACTTCTTTGTAACATTGCTTTTCAAAGCACCACATTAAACCATCACAAAGTCTGTACTATTGACTTATATGCTGCGTATTAGCGTATAAGTCAATGCATATTTTAGCTAGCTTTACTTAATACAATGACAGACTAGTTTGTTTTTTGTTTTTTATTTCTCAGTCAGAAAATTCTGGTTTTATGGATGTCTGTCACCAAAATTTACAAGCCCAAATCTAATTAAGATAAAATAATAATAATAATAATAATAATAATGCATCAGATATCATATAGTGCTTTATCAGAGACCCTCAAAGTACTTTACATTGGATACATCATTGATTCACTCACACAGTCACACCTTGGTGGTGGTAAACTACCTTAGTAGTCACAGCTGCCCTGGGGGAGACTGATGGAAACGTGTGGAGGACACACACTGTAGTGGAGCGGACAAATGCATAATATAGCCCGAATCGTTCACTTTGTTATACAAGCATGAAATTTGGTACATATACTCTTCAGACCCCACTCTTTTCAAAAATAACGTTAGCCACGCAAAATTCAGAGATGGCGGCCCCAAAATCCAAGATGTCCGCCCCAAAAATGTGTTTTTTCCTTTATAACTCAAAATGACTTGATTTTAAGCCCCATACATATATTGAAGTTGAATATAAAGTTGGGTATTGCGGACATTTTGGTACCTAGTACATGTCTGTATCCATTATGGTTCTTGAGATACAGCATATAGATACTTGTACAGAATTGGGAGAGTGAGAAATTTGTATCACCGATTGTTGTTACGTGCATATGGTTGTATGAAAATATCATTTCCATTATCTGTTATTTTCATGAGGGTTATAACATTAAATTTGAGAAACAAGATGGTGTCCAAGATGGCTGCCATTGCCTTGAAGTAATCCGATCTTAGTGACTATGAAACATTAACTTTTGGCATGCACATATTTTTGGTCTATGCATCCAATGGGGCCATTGCAGTACAGAATTTAGATGTTTATACAGTACAAGCTTGCAGATGTAATAGAGTGAGTATCGGCACACAACCAGGGCACACTGGTGATATCACTGCTGTGTAACTCAGGAGTTCTTTCAGCATGAGAACCAGTCCTTCCCTGTTGCATTGAGCAAGGGTGGAAAATTGTACACTTGCCAGAAGTCTCAGCTGACCCCTATCCTTGAGAATTATGTCCCACCAGTTGACAAGGAACCTGAGGCAGATGTTCTCATTGTAGATGGGTCAGCTTTGGACCACGCCCTGCCACCAAAAAGATCCAAGACTTTTGAGGACTATGCAGCTCTCGACTTCCTACCTGTGATCTACATGTACTCCAGCAAGTACACAATGACACATCTGGTGTTTGATGTGTAAAACCCATCAAGCCTTAAAGCTGAGACCAGGTCCAAACGTGGCCAGGGGGGAAGACGCAAGGTAACAAATAAGAACACCATGCTATCTAACTGGCATAACTTCCTGAGGCACAATGACAACAAAACAGAGTTGTCCCACCCTTGCCGACAAGGTTGCACAAATGTTTGCCCTAAATACCATCATCGTCACAAAGGGACCCGCTGTCCTCAGCACTCGTGCAACTGGTCTTGATGGACTGGATAAATGCTCTCACGAGGAAGTGGACAGCCGCATCTTTGTGCACACCAAACATGCAACTGGTAGCCAATCCATCATGATCAAGGCAAATGACACAGATGTTCTGATCTTAGCTATAAGTGTATTCAGCGGTCTCCAAGAGGCTGGCCTACAGCATATGTGGCTTGCATTTGGGCAAGGTCAGACTTTGCGCTGGATCAGTGTGCATGACATATTTCAGCATGTTGGCCAGGAGAAGGTCAAAGGCATGCTCTTCTTCCATGCCTTTACAGGATGTGACACTGTGTCTGCCTCCCGCAACAAAGGCAAGAAAATGGCTTGGCATACATGGGACATATCTCCAGAATCCTTATCTGTATTCCCCAAACTGGGTATTTACCCTCCCACAGTGGAGGACTGCGACATAGAGGTGCTTGAGAAGTTTGTCATTCTCATGTATGACAGATCCAGCACAGCTGCTACTGTGGATGAGGCCAGGCTTGACTTGTTTGCCAGAAACCAGAGCAGCTCTACTCCAACACACCAGGCGTGCTGCCTATCAGGCTGGTTGTGAGTGGGCCCAGGCAACCCAGTGTCAGCCAGAAGCAGAGGACCCTGCAGACTGGGGATGTCAAAAGGTTGGTGAGGAATGGCAGGTCTTCTGGACAGCCAACTCTGCAATAGCCAAGACATGCGAACAGCTCACCAAATGTGGCTGTAAATCTGGCTGTTGTGGCAGGTGCAAGTGCTACAAATTGGGTCTCATGTGTACAGCTCTGTGTAGTTGCTACTGTGAGGTGTAACTCACAGTAAGTATGCTGTATCTTACAAACTGTAATAGATGCACATGGTACTAAAATACCTGCTTTTATCAACGTCTAAATTCTGTACTTAGCTTAGATGGGATCAGGAAAAATTAGGGAATTTTGTAAACTTCTGAATTTTAGTATAGTGTTAGGTATGGGTATAAGGTTTTTTAAAAAACACCTCAAAGGAGTTGAGTGCATCCCCTAGTGGTCGGTTTGCATAGTATCCAATGTTAGATAGTTTAGTATATGGTTGAAACCCCCAAAAAGTGATGGAAGAGATATTATATTATAAAAAGCCACAAAAAAAAGGGGGGGGGGGGGCAGCCTCCACGTGGCCTCCCCCGCAAGTAGCCAGAGATTAGTTGCCCTTTAAGTGAAGTGCCCCCCCACCTCCCATACCCAGTAGTAACAGAATCCATTGAAAAATCTCTTCTGTCACTTATTTTGGGTTTCAAACTGAGGTGTTGAATTTTGGATTCTGGGCAAACAAACCACTAGGGGGCGCACCCATATCGTTTGCGGTGTTTTTTTAAAACCTTATACACATACCTAACAGCATAACAAAAATCAGAAAATTGTCACAAAATGCCTAATTTTTAACCTTTTATGACAAGTTTCATTCTTCTGAATTCATGATTCAACTCTGCTGAATTCATGATTACTTCAAGGCAATGGCAGCCATCTTGGACACCATCTTGTTTCTCAAATTTAATGTTATAACTCTAATGAACATAACAGATAATGGAAATGATATTTTCATATAACCATATGCACGTAACAACAATCGGTGATACAAATTTCTCACTCTCCCAATTCTGTACAAGTATCTATATGCTGTATCTCAAGAACCGTAATGGATACAGACATGTACTAGGTACCAAAATGTCCGCAATACCCAACTTTATATTCAACTTCAATATATGTATAGGGCTTAAAATCAAGTCATTTTGAGTTATAAAGGAAAAACCACATTTTGGGGCGGACATCTTGGATTTTGGGGCCGCCATCTTGGAATTTTGCGTGGCTAACGTTATTTTTGAAAAGAGTGGGGTTTGAAGAGTATATGTACCAAATGTCATGCTTGTATAACAAAGTGAATGATTATTTCCTTATCTGCTCAGCTACTGGGAGCAAGGTGGGTTAAGTGTCTTGCCCAAGGACACAACAGACAGACTCGGGAAAGGGGGGAATTGAACTGACAACCTTGGGAAAGGGGGGAATTGAACCGCCAATCTTCTAGTTCTTGGACGACTGCTCTACCTCCTGAGCTACCGCCGCCTAAAATAAGAAACAAACTTTATTTATCCCCAAGGGGAAATGTGGTTATTTGTCTGTGTATTGACAGTAATGCTCTTTATGAAGTTATTAATAACACCATAAACAGTCCTATGCAGACTGCATGTATATAAAAAATGGTGCACAGATATTTGTGGATCTTTAAAGTATTTGTAGATTAAAGTTTAAAGCAAGAAGCTTGGGGGGATTTTGGTCAGGGAAAAAGCCAAGTTGTAAAATATTATGTTTTTATTGAAGACCAGAATCCAAAATATTATATAACCCAAAGAGAGTAAAAAAACACAACATACATTATGCATGGATTCTCATTCAAACCCAGAAGTCAGTCAATATGCTTTGATTTTTTTTCCAATGTGATAATTGAAACGCTTGACAATTTAACACACATCCATGTAAAGAATTAATGCTTTTCTTACACAACACTGTGCTGCTGTAATGTGGGAGCTTCACCAAGTGAGCTTCAAAAGTGGAAACTGAAACAATAATAGCATA